TCACTTACAGATGTGGTGTTATTTTCCACTCTATTTTGCAGGAAAAGCCCAAGAAAAATGTGGAAAGTGTTTTGTAGTTTTGTGAACCTGTTTTGCAAATCTTGACTGACTGTTGGTCGGCCGAACCAGCTCGTAGCAGGGTCTGTTGTTTGTGCTCCTGTGGGCCTATTGGTTTTTGCAATGTGAACACTTTTCTGTACAAAGTTGCCCAAATATTGCTCTGGTAATTATCATAAGAGAGTACACTCATAAGTGAGCACAGATCCCACATGGCTTGGCATAATCTCTTGCTATGCAAAGAAGACAGCCGTGTTTTCTGAGTATCACCGCTGATGCCTCGACGTTGCATGTTCATTAAGCCCACTGGTCTGTTTGCTTCACATTTGGCATGCCAAGGAATAAGCAGATGAGGAGCGGAAGGTTGCACTGCAAAGCTGAGGAAACATTCAAGAAGCTGACCTGTCAGTGCTGTGAGCAGGACCTCAACCAAAGCTCTAAACAGAAGCTTATGGATCTGGTCAGTGAAAAACTCCACTGCCACTGCAGAGAGGATATGAGAAAAAGATTACAACTTTTGAGTACAGAATTAAAAATCTCTCAGACTCAGGGCCAGAGTAGTTTAAAACTGGAGTCTCCTGGGTTCCCTTTAACAGTGTTCTTCCTTAACTTCATGCTAACTTTCTTACCAGGGATTCTTCCATCATATCTTTGTGTCCCATGCACAAGCAAAACTCACTACTAACCAAAGGAGTCACTTGGCTACCATATTTCCAGTGCAGAGAACTTTGTTAGATGTAAAGCAGAGTTTTTGTTCCAAACCTCTTCAACTTGGATATCTCGGGTACAAACTTGGATATCTTGGGTACAAAACAACAACAGTGTTTTATATTTCAAGCTCAGTTAACTGATATTTGTAAAGTGCTTGAAGTTATTTGAAGATATTAATGCACAGCAGAATGACAGACGTGTAAGTTTAAAAAAATAATACTAATAAATCCTGACCATGTTTTGAAAACGTGGGTGTTATAACTCCCCCAGGAAGTATCACTTCTGATAAACAAAGTCAGTTTACTGGAAAAACTGGCACCAACTTCTCAAATGTTTAAAAATAGAAATAACAATCTCTTTCCCCAGCTTGTGAAAGAAATACATTGATGACTTTAGAGAATTTATTCATTGGTGTGAGTGTGAGTGGGTGTGTTAAGTAGAGAATTTAATGAGAGGGAGCTAATGAGGGGGAGTGAAGTAGGAAAGAAGACTTCTGCATCTATTAGTTCTGCAAGTGGAAAAGTCTGCAAATGTCCTTGCATCTCCTGAGCTCCAGGGCCTGGGTCCAGTCCTGTGGGAATGCTGCCTTCAGCTACCAGATCCTCTGCCTGCTAGTTAGCAATTTTGTTGTTCCCGTAGAGCAGAGGTGTGTGAGGGCCTTTTGGTACTGCTGAGATTGTCACCCAGTCGTAGAACAGCATCGCTTCTGACTCTTGGGCTGAGAGTTAGTCAAGAGCTCGTCATCTATGTAAACACTAGGATGTGAACAGTATTGATCTAGGTGTGGTTCCACAGGAAAGGGCCTGAAGCGAGAGAAACCAGCACTGATAAACTCAGTTTAACCAGGAGCCTAAAAAGTGGCAATCAGGGCTATTGAACGGTCTACTTATCCGTAGTTCCTAGTAAGTGGGTTTGATTCACAAAAGCTTTGCCTGCCGCATGGGAGCTAAGTTTCTAAAGGAGCAGACCAGTGAAATATTCACTGATTGAAGTAACCACAGGGAAATGCTGTTGAATGCCAATTTTTCAGGTACCCATGTGTACACTCTGAATGGAACTGATCCAGAAGGAGATCCCGTGACATACGGCCTGGCCTATGAAGCTGGATCAAGACGCTACTTTTCTGTTGACAAGAACCTTGGAAATGTTACGCTGATTGAGGAGCTTGACAGAGAGGTACAATGAAATGGCACCATTCCATGTGTTCATGGAATTTCCTTCAGTTTAATTAGATCTGTGGCTTTGAGGAACAATGACAACTTATTTGCCCCTGAAACATGTAATATACGTTGCTATTCTGAGACATTGTACTTCACCCATCATGTTGTTGTCCAGTTGACTTGTGCTACTGATGCTGCTATCAAATGTTTCGGCAGCTGCCTGTCCAGCTTTTGCCAAAAGAGAAGTTTACTCTTTATTCCTATCTTTCCCCACCTGCACCCCATCAAGAGCTTAGGGGCAGTTGCAGTCCTCTAATCCTCAGACAGGGGACTCTCCTGTCATTAGGAGGGAGCAGAGATTTGTGTAAGCAGTGTTCCAGGACACTCCTCTAGTTACATCATAGCCCTTTAGCACACGTGTAACCATATGGGTTAAAGATGATCCCAGCAACAGCGACCTAAAGGCAGCCTTATTCTGGGAACACAGGCATTGAACCCTTCAATTCTCCTTTGCAGGGAAGGGTACGCACTACTTAGTAAACCCTTCAAAATACTGTATACTGAGATGGAAGGATTTTGAACCAAATATGCCTTTTTAGGGAGTGTTTCTTGAAAAAGATGACGGATTTTCATGAGCGCTTTACAGGACAACAGGGATTCCCAGACCAACCATCTCTTGACAGTAGCCACACAAGGTCCAAGGAGCCCCGCAGCTGGAGCTTCTGAGGGGTCTTCCTAGCCTCTGCTGTAATTGCTTTGTGGTAGTGGTTGTTACTTTCATCTGCCTGCTGAGGCACATTTAAATCTGTGGTCCCTCTTCCAATCAGGGCAAGCACCATCTCGCTAACAAAGGAATTTTCTTGGTTTACAGAAGGAAGATGAGATTGAAGTTATTGTCAGTATTTCAGATGGCCTGAGTACAGTAAGTATTTAATTACGCTGTAGCTTGTCAAACTGTCTGTCCCCTCATACCTCCTCCTGTTAAATTACCTTACAGGGACTATCTCATTTTATCAGAAAACATAATCTCATTAGAATCTTACCTACTGTTTCAAGAGCCACTGAACTCCCAGTAACTCAAGTCTCACTCCAGCTCATTGCTCAGCTATTTGAGGATAATTACAGTGTAGTGTGAGCTGAAAGACTGCAGAATTACAGCAGCTTCCTGTGAAGTTTCACTGCCAGCTCAGTAGGATTCATACCTAAGAAAGGTCTGGAGGCTTTTTGGAGAAGTGTGTGACATTATAGGAACTAGTGTTGGACACCCAAGAGCTGACTGTCCCTCCACCCCCACAATGTTTCTCTAGCATGAGATTAAGAAGATTTGCTTAGGCTAAGGTGGTGGGGGTTTTCTTGTCTGCTGCTGAATAAAGCTTTGATCACATCTAATCATTAAGGACGTATCGGAGGCAGTGCACAAGCATCCAATGCTAGTTCAACAAATTTCCTTGGCATTTTCAGTTTACGGATGGATGCTGTCACAGCCAGGATATTAGTCTGCCAATAAGAGGACCCGGGCTTCTTCACGAGAGGTGCCACAAAAGTGGGACCCTCTTACTATCCACAGGACTGGGTAACTCCAGAGCTCTTCCTCCTCTCAAACAAATTAATTGAGATTACTACAGTGCATGTTTGGGAGGTGTCACCATCCTACAGGCACAGCTGCCCTGGCAACCTCTGTAAATAGGAAATAATAGGATCACATCCGCCTGTCCACTTGCAAACAACTGGGAGGTTTTGTTGGTCAAATATGTTTGCTTCTGTATTTTTAGAAAGAGAACACCCATTTTGTTCAAGATGGATTGTTACATATTAGCAGTGTGTATTTGTATATCCAAATTATGCATGCTATTAACCTACTATCATGATATCAAATGAGGCATTAATGAATGGTCTTGGTTGTCAGGTACCAATTTTTTACAGTCTTTCATGTATTCTCATAAAATACATAATGATATCTTGAATGCCATAAAGAAGAAGAAAGACTTTTGAAAATCGGCCCCATCTGTAATTTATAAAGTACTCTGAGACTCCTTACTTGGTTTGGAGATATCTGGGTGATGTCCACAAAGCAAATTCTTCTGGATTATGGGATTTTCTTTTGTGTGCTCGGTTTTGGTAGTGCAAAGATATTCTATTGCAACATACTTTTTCATTGTTCCTTTGACTACACCTCAGTAGGCAAATGAGTAGGTACATGTTGAAAATCAGCTTGAGTCATAATATTTTCTTCGTATTCTACTCCAGGTTTCTGAAAAAGTCAGGATCCTTGTAATGGATGCTAATGATGAGAGCCCGGAGTTCATCAACACACCTTATATAGTCCAAGTCCCAGAGGTTGGTGAAGTTTCTTTGCATATTGGAAGTATATTTCATTAGGATGTAAAGAGAAGCTAGTATGTTTTCAGTAAAATAACATGATGTGCAGGACTAACTTGCATTCTTTTGTTTTAGGGTTTGGGTAGATATTAAATATTCACTGCAAACTTAGGGAATAAGTCTGCAGGTACTTAAGGTGTGCTATTTTGTGGGTAAGCTCCAAGATGTGAGTCATTGGGGGTTTTTAGTGGGAATAGGATGCACTCTGTCTTAGCTGAGATTTCCTGTCATTTTTATTCCAAAAAGTTTTTCTTCATTCTTGTTCTTCTCCAGTTTCCTCCATTTTTAATCTCTTCCCTCTTCTTTCTGCTCTTTTGTTCCTTCAATGCATTTATATTCTTTCTACCATCACTCTCTTTTTCTGCCTCCTTGCATGCTCATTTTTCATTTCTTCTAACTCACCTGGTTTTCCACTTCCGTGTGACTCTAGTAACTCTTTCTGGTCACAGAACGCTCCCTCTGGCAGCAGTATCTTTAAGATTGAGGCAGTGGACAAAGACACGGGTTCTGGAGGAAGTATCACCTACTTCTTGCCGGTAAGTTATTACCTGTACATTCAAAAATCATCTTTCATTTACCGAGATCTCAGAAATCAGATTAAAAAATATTTTGAGGGTTGAGCCCACTACTAGTGTCCATAAGACCAATTTTGCACCATGCACAAGAAAACAGGCATTGACAAACCCGATACTGTCTGCTTGCGAGCAGCCAAGTGCAGTCCAGCAGGCAGAAGGAGGAGCTGAGTTGCCACTGTCACTCCTATGCTTGCCAGCAGGACTCCTCACGGCAGGGCTCTTACTGGCCCTTTCTTTGGAGTGACAGGGAGAGCAAGTCGTAACTTGTAATCTTGTATGCATACGGGATTTCTAAAGCATGAAATAGCTGTCTTTAGAAAGCAAAAGGCACTGGAAACCCAACTGTGGACTTTGGTGTAGCAGGCTGGTACATAATTGAGACCTGGATCACAGCGTGAAATATGAGGTACTGAGTCTTCTCACTGACAAAGCCATGCCTGCTTGAAACCAGCCTTTCAGGTATCGCCCACTGGTGAAAAACAGAAAGGGCTCCGTATTTAAAGCTGAATTTCTGTATTACAGTTCTTCTGCAGGCCAAAAGGACAACTTTTTGCATTATATCCTTCAAATTCCTTCTTCCTACAAGCGGCTTTGTCCAGATAATGAACTGCAGATAAACTGCAGTTTCTCTTACTCAAGAGGCAACAGAAAAAAAAAAAAGGAAACCAATTTGTTGTAGTATTTACTTTGGATATAAAAATATGAAAACAAGTTGGAAGATATTTACATAGCACTAAAGCTAATCCTGTTAAGAGCTTGGGCATACTGTGAAAGAACACCTTGAGTGCCTTGTTGAAATTTAGTTTTAATTTCACCAATTATGATCCATTTAAAATACAGTATGTGAAGGATTCAGTTTTGCACAGGGCTTTTTCCAGTAAGTGGATAGACTATGAAGCCAAGGAACAGCAATTTCAAACATCTATGTCTAGTTGATATACTTGTGTGGCGAAAAAGGTTACCAAATATGTGTATTTGTTGAAAAAATGTTGCCATGTCTTTTGGCACAATCTCTGGGAATTCTCAAGTTGCACAGAAAAAAACCTCTCCAAAAGTCTGCTGTGGGCAGGTAGTGACGTCTACTGAAAAGGATTATCCGACAGTGACCATTGTGTATGGATACCCAAATGGAAGTGTGTTTTTAGATATCTCCAGTCCAGAAGAATGAAGGGAGACAGTTTTTAGGCCTTTTTGGAAATCAGATGTCTTTTAGGTTTTATTCGTACATCGTAAAAATCACCAAAGCACCACTCTGTTGACAATAATCTATGCATGCAAACTTCCTGCATTTTTAAGCCAGTAGAACTTTGAAACACTAAGGGATAACACCTTTTTACTTCTTCCTTTTCCCCTCATCTTTTTTCTGTTAAGCCTCCCTACCTCTTTCCTTGCGATGAACTGTGTTAACCAAAGTTTAAGATTTCACAATGAAATGCTAAAAGATTAAAAAAATCCACATTGCAGGTAACTGATTTATTCTGAATAACGAGAGACTCATGGTTGGTTCATGAATTGTTCATAAACACACAGAGGTGAAATTCATCAAATACTTTACTCACCCAAACCGTATCATTATTCTAGTCTTTTCGCCTAGCAGATGAAATAAAAGATGAATCCCTACGGCAATCTCATTTCCATACCTGTAATCTCTCGCTGTTTCTTCTTTCCTTTTCTTCCAGAACATCCATGCTAATAAGTTTACAATAGACCGTCACAGTGGTGTCCTGCGCATCAAAACAGGGGTCACCCTGGACTATGAGAAATCAAGAACACATTTTGTCGTCGTTGTAGCCAAGGTATAAAGCTTTTATCTGAAACTAGAGGAGGTGGGGGGTTGCATTTGAGCAGGACTGATTAGTTCGAATACAAGTGCGACTTAAAGGGTTTCTGAAACATGAAGCATAACATTGAAGCAGCAGAGCTACTCCCTCGGTAACATCTGGAGGTGGAGGGGTGGGTAGCATGGAAAAGTGAGGGAGGAAAGGTGACGGGTGTCTGCTGCTGAACAACACCTGGAGGCGTTCGGCAGTGGGTTTCCCACATTTCACTCAGGTCCAGTGCCAGGAAAGTGAGCCCCACTGCAAAGTCAGCTGTGCATTTTGAGAGTCACCTAGAAGCGAAGGGTTGGTGTATGCAGCCCCGGCTTCCAGAAGCATCAGCCTTTGGGCAAATGCAGGTGCCCAGGGCTCCCTCGTGCTGCCCAGGGCATGGCCCTACCGCAACAAGGGCAAAGCCCTGGCAGGCAGGCTGTGCGAGTCGCTGTCGTTAGCCACAGTAAGATGCAGGGCACAGCCTGTGCAGCACAAGTGACAGACTTCTTTTCTGGAAATATCTGTGGATGTTTCTTTCTTTCACTTCTCTGCTGCCTTGTGGCAGGAGCTTATTCAAATCCTGCAAATATTGCTGCACAGCCCTTCTTGACACTGTCATTCTCAGCAGTGCTGCGCCTGTGGCACGGCTGAGGATTCATAACAGGCATTAAAAGTTTATGGATTCTGAAGTAAAGTCTCTCAGGGCCCTGTGGGGACTGTCACATAGACAGACTCACATGGGTGGAAAGAGGATGATTTTGCTGCTACTGACGGTGACTTTGAGTCTCTCATGTTTTATGAAAAACATATGGATCTTTTCATGTATTTATTTAGTCAGGGTTCGTTTGGGGAGAAGTAACAAAATTTGGCTTAAATGCTGTTTTGGGGGCAGTAAGGAGGAAAAAAATGAGCATATCTTTTCCAAAAAATTGAATGTTTAGAATTGGTACAGCAGACATGCTGAACAATTCACACTCTTATACACCAGCATGACTACTGACCTCCAGCTGGTGCTCTGAGACTGAGGGCGTTAAAAGCTTCTGAAATTGCAAGTCCTTTCTAATTGGCTCTGCTGTATCAGTAGGACAGAGTTGATTGTAGTCAAGTCCCCAGAGACTGTTTATACACTGTGGCTATTTAACAGTTTTTTGGCTGCGCAGCTCTTCCATGCTTTCACTTTATCACGTAAGAGTCCCTAGGAGACTTTGATCATGTGCACTGTTTAATTTCCCCCTAGAAATGCACTACCTTGCTACCGCGCATTGTCTTGTGTTTATGACAAGACTATACGTGGGATGAAAGTTTGTAGACCTTAGCCGCTAACTTTTTGCATCAGTTTCTAGCATTCTTTTTTCCTGAAAAAAACTTGAATTCCCTGTCCCCTGTGTTGTTGATAAAAGATTGTGTATGACTGCATATATTGGCACAACCACTTTTAATATAAGAAATACACACTGCCAGCTGTCTTCCTAATCAGAGAGGGAGCAAGACAAATGGAAAAGAGAAGGGAATAGGGCAGCAGAGATTAATCTGTGTGTTGGGAGAAAGAAGGCATTC